TGTGTTTTATACGAGATTCACGAAAAAACAAGCACACCGTTAGTACGTTATTAGCATTGGATTAGATAATCAAAGTGTGCACTTTTCCCACAATTAAGTGCCCGAGTACATGTATATGGTTTTGGCACCTGTACCACGCCTGACACTGGTATGTGGTGTAGCCATACATCTCGGTTCTCACTCCTGATTACAGTGTTTGGCAAATTGAATTTTTATGATTTGCAATCAAATTCAAATGGTATTTTGAGTTTGAATCAAAAAATAAAATTTTTGTTATTGAATGCGCGAATAATTTACATTGACTATACTAAGAAATTGTATTTGCATTAAATGACATTTATTTACAATTTTTAATTAAATATTATACGAAATTCAATAGAATTTTACGAGTTTTATGAGAAGTTATGAGAAAAGACTAACAAAATTAAAATTAAAATTCATAACAAACTGTTTATTACTAGGAGTTTCAATATTCACGGCTTTAACTATAAACAACAGATGAAGCGTTACTTTCTATGAGCACCCGTAGGCTAAACACACTGGACGCCCACTTAAACTAAAAGCTTTTTAACTAATAAATGAAAAATTAATTAAACATTCAATACATTTAATTGATAGTTAAGTAAACCTTTGACATCATTATCTAAATGTTTAAGAGTAGTATGAGTTTTAAAGTCACATTTTCGCACAAATACAAAAACACAATAATTAAAGTTTTAGTTGCGACAAAACAATATGTTTACTTTTCTATTCATAAGCCATCAACTGAATCAACTGAACTTGAAATTTGTTTTAATAAAAGTCTTTGGATTCAACTGTATCCAGACAAAAAATAGCTGATATTAATACACTCAAAAGCTTTGTATTTAATTTTATTTCATTTGTATTTTATTAGATTTTTGTTGGCATATACCACACAAATAGGGATTTGGTTGTTATGTGTTGCCAAAAATGTATTCAAAACTTTTTTGGATTACCAAAAAAATTGTCTCAAAATTTTATTTAACTCATCAAAAAGCTATTGAGAAGATCATGTTTGGTATGCTTTTGGTAGATATGTTTGTGAAGTATACGGTAGTATTGCTATTGAAATGAAAGTCTGAGGGAAAATGTATGGCAAAGATGGGTATATCTCTAATGTTCACAAACGGCCACCAAATTGTCGTTTTGTTATTGATCTCAATATTATCGGATGCGTAACATAACAGCTCCTGGATTGAGGTGTGACTGCGGTTGTCATCTGAATCTTATGCCTCGAAAATATATTATCCAATATTTAATAATAGGACACGAAATGTATATTTATTTTATTGTTTGTGAAGCCAGTCATCGATTTAAATGAAATAAATTAACATTTTTTAGAAAAAAAAAGATTTTGAATAAATATAGTTATTATTAGCAGACATGCAAAAAAGTTAAATATGTTTATAAATATGTAATAACTATACTGGATTTTAATTGCTTTTAGTTTTATCCTAATGGAAGTTACATTTAGATCTCTACTTTAGCAAAACCTAACGTCTAATTAGCACACAATTAGGCATAGGATTCAATTGAAAATGAAAAATATAAAATTACTTTTATTTCACTCTTTATGACGAAAAACTTTAATTTCGCACTTCATTTAACATCATATTTAAAATTCATGCCTAAAACTCGTAATTAAGTTTAAAATATTAAGTTTTTTAACGCAAATTTGCATTAATCTACTTTTAATGAGATGTTACTTTTAATAAGAATTGCTCCCAAAAAATGAATTTAAATATGTTTATAATAACGATAAACAGATGAATGGTAAAGAGCAAAAATATGCTAGCTAATTATAAGATTATTATTTAATTGCTTTAATGTCTAAATTATTTTGTTCTTCATTCCTGTGAAGTCTGTTTAATGTGTTGTAATTAAACTAAAAATAAAACCTTTTTACATTTTTACATTAAATGAACTAATCTTAAAATCATAACAAATGTTTGCTGTTTTTAATAACTTTACTCTAAACTTAAATTCTCTATAAATGAGAAAGTTTATACTTAATCCTTCAAAATATTGTAATTAATTAAAATTGTTTATATTTTTAATAAACATTCGTTACTAATAATACCTGTTTTAGACACTCAATGATTTTATTTTCTAGTATAAGCAAAATATTTGTGTATCATATTAATTTAAATTAATGAGTGGAAGTTTACAAAATGTTTGTAAATGGTTTTGTTCGCATAACATTCAACATAAATAGTTAGCTAATCATAGATATTTTAATATTACGCAAAAATTACAAAAATATTCATAAAAATAAGATTTCATTAGAAATCTTAGCAATTTTTGAATGTAAGCCATGAGTTAAGACATTGATTTGTTTCGCTTACATTTGGGTTAAGTTTGATTTTAATCCAACTTTTATTGTTTTATTGATTTGCTTAAATCTAATGAGATTTATACTTAACTTTTATGACTGCGGCTACGAATTAATGAATTTTGTTTGTATATCAAGAATTATATTAAAATTATTTGACTGAGAATTATGGTGTGAATCGTATTGAATCACACAATAATAATCAATAAATCATTACCGACGACGAGAATTGGGGACAATTTATAGCAACAGTAAAAATTTAAATACACTTCTCTATACATGAATAAATTGTGGCATTTCTTACGACACCATGGAAATGGTGTTTACTGCGAAAAATTTTGCTCCGTAGATATGTTCAAACAAAATATTTATGAATTAATCATTTATTAGCCCGAAAAATATGTACAGAAAGCGAACAAATGATTTGTTAACGAGTTTTACGGCACATCTCATGGGATTCCTCGGCATTGGACAGACTTTTTTTAGGCATAATTTTAAAGCGAAAAGGTTTGAGACACAAATGAGTGTGATATACATTAAGTTTTCAAGTGCACTGTATATACACTAATGCTAATGTGGGCCATATATGCTGTCACTGAAGCGAGTCTTGTCATCAAATCAATGGCACATATAATACCAAAAGAGTGGAAAATGACGGTATAAATAGTCCTAACAATTCTCATTCAAATTCACAACTCACACCATAAGCCCTCAAAGTGTTTCGTCTCGTGTTTTTTCAATAGCCAAGTGATTGTCAAGTGATTTGTGTGACACAGACCTCTCGGGTAAGGAATTCCGTGTGTGTGTGATGTCTATAATCTAATCAATGGTTTTTTGGTTATCATAAGAATCCTGTTATATCTTTGCATAAGATTTGGATTTTAGTTTAATTTGTTTTTCAATAAAGTTTATACTTTTTTATTGGAAAAGTTGTAAAAAGTTTTTATATATATTTTTCTCATTAAACGTTGTGATAGTGAGAAGACTCCGACCGCAAGACATGGAACTAATTCAGAGCAAAATAGTCCGCTATCTGGCGATGGCTGCCGTCGTGCTGATGGTGGGCAAGACGCTCGCCCGGAGCGACACCGCGTCCACCAAGCCGTCCACATACAGCCCCTACAGCTCGCTCATGTACTCGCCATACTCATCGATGATGTCGTCGATGTCGTCCATGTACTCGCCCTACTCGCCGTCGATGGCCTCCTCGATGGTGATGCCCTACTACTCGAGCGCCTACCCGTACGCGCCCTCAGCCGCCGCCGCCACCTCCTACGGCCACTCGTCGAGCTACGGTCACCCCTCGCAGTACGTGATGGCCGCCAGTTATCCGCACTCGGCGTACGTCCCGATGCCATACATGGGTGGCTACGGCGCCTATTCACCGGTTTCCAGTTATTACGGATAATATGTATCTCTATTTGTTTGAGACTCCGTTTCTCCCCAGCAATCCATAACTTATTACTGATTTTTAAGTTAATTTCTCTCATTATTATGACAAACAATTGTAAGAATCGACCACAAAATGGGACTCAATTCGCAACCTATTGGCTCATTATTTCTGTAATTTCGTTAGAAATTTATGATACATTTCCTCCTCGACAAAAAAATATGAAGGAATTTAATTATGTCTATTCATTATTAGCCTATATATTGTGTATATCTATGATAAGTCTTCAAATTTTTTAATTCAATATTTAATTTATATAATAATTTACTTTTTTTTTATTCTACCATTTATTAGCACTATATTATATTCTCACGTATTCTTAATTTATTAATATTTCTAATAAACTCTATTCAAACGCCTGTATTTACATTATATTCAATATTAATATTCATTTTTCTTTGTATCTGCGGAACCAAAGTATGGAAAGAATAAAAATTAATTTCTAAAAACATTACAATAAATCTGTTGCTATTATTAAGGGCTTAAGAGTTTTTTAATTAAAATACTCGCTTATTAAGCATTAAGTCTCAATGCGTGCCAACATTTCAAACTAAATATTCATTGGCCCTCAAAACCAATGTGTCTTTCGACCACTTATTTTGTAGTCTTTGTGTTTGTTTTGCTAAAAGTGTTACACAAATGCGAGTTTTGAAAAGTCTTTTTCTCGCTAACAATAGACTCAATAAAATTGGAGCAAAAGCTTTGGAAAATAATATTTCTTTTGATTTTGGATGTAATTAATCATTAATTAACTACAAAGGTAAATAATAAATATTTAAAAAAACTATTCTTATATTTAACTATACATGACATTTAAATACTACAATTAATACCAAGAGATAATTAGTGTGAATTTATAATTTAGTTATTAATCATGAATATGTTGTCAAAATATTATATTATTCTTGCAGTTAATTAGTGAAAGAATTAATTATTTATTTTTATTTTATTTTATTAAATATACAAAGTATTACCAGACAAAAAATATTTTTAAAGCAAAATATAACCAATTTTCTAAATCTATAACTGGGATTCACACCATTTTCAGTCATAAAATTCAAAAATGTAAGTTTAATGATTTATAGGCTCATAAAAGATAATTAACATTTTTGGGATCAGAATTTTTATATATAAAATATTTGGTCAAAAATATAATAAAAGGTAAATTTTGTGAAAAATAATTCCGGTTCTGATATACACCGTATGTTTCGCTCCGATTAATATTAAACTGATTTCTTGTGTCCATTAATATACAAACAATAAACACAATACACGAGAAAAAAATAGTTGTAAAATTGAGATTTAATTCTATTTTTTGACTCAAAAACCACTGCTTTTTTAATATACAAGAAATGAGAGGAAATTTTTGTAGTCCAACATAATATAAAATACATTTTTGCGATATTTTAATATTAAGTCTCTACCGCTAATTAAGTACCGGAAAAAGTGGGTCAAAAACGCTAAGGCAGTGAAAATATATTCATATAATATGCGACAGTAGGCCTGATAAACGTACGGCACGGGTATGGTTACGAATTGTGATCTTAAACTTGAAATGTTTTGCAAACACATCAATAATAATGCAATTTAGGCCTTTAAATAGAGTATTATATGTAGTATTATAGCTATAATTGTATTATGATTTTAATTCTATTTTCTGATGATTATCGGTGTCTCTCACGCGTGAAGTCATATACAGAAATGCATAGTAAAAAAAGGCCGTAAGAAAACAGACACTTATATACAGTATGTTATGAATAAAAAAGAAATTTTCGTTAACAAAGTTTTGCGAGACATTTAAACAAGCGTTATGTAATCGCACTGTGAGGCTCATAATGAATTAAAAATGCGCTTAAATTCATTTTTAACTGTTTTTTTGTTTCTTAAATGAATAATCTTTTCGGAAATTTAGTTTTCAAATCACTTTGAAGTGAACACACATTAGCTAAATGTAATTAACGGCTCCGATAATGAATGTCAAGTTTTTCTGTTTGTTAACGATTTGTTTTACTATACATTAATGAATTTATTGTGTTATTTGTGTGGATAAAAAAATTAGGAGCCAGTAATAATCATGAGCTGTTTAATGGATATTCAATGAATATTATGAGTTAATTGTTATTTTGAGACTAATATTTGCCTAAAGCCTATGGGATTGGCATTCATTAGAAATTGATTGAGAAATTGTACTCGAAATACATTTAATAAATAAATAACTATTAATTACTCGACAAATATTTAGTAAAAACAATGAAATCGGTTGCGACATAATGAAAATTAATGTTGTTTTCACTTAATTATCGATCAAAAATGTAAATATATTTAATTAATGACTATTGAATGTGCACTAAACGTTAGCAAACTCATTTATCACACAAACAAATCATTGAGTCTCCTGTTTATAACATCAGAAAAATGAAAAAGTTTTTAAATACTAAATATCTTTTGCTATTTTAGGCAAATTTGAAAACTTTTGCACAAGTTTCAAATACAGTCAAATTAGTCTAAATTGAGACATGAATTATGATATTTAAAAATATAAGACAATTGCGAGGCAATGGAGGCATAAAATGATTTTTATATTCATTGCGTGATATTTATGGCGTTCAATGAGATTGTAATGAATGTCTATTAATAACATGCATTGTCTTATTTGCGGGTAGTTTTCAGGTTTTAGACTTATTGAAAGTCTTGGATGTATTATAAAAAGGAGACCAAAGTATTAAACCACTTATTTGGATCATTAAATTCAAGTTCAATACAATAATAATTTTATGTGATTTAATTGAGGAGTTTACTCCATAATACAAATTTTTGAGTATCAAATACATGTAGACTACAGAGTACAAAATAAATTGCACTAAACTCTATAGATATACAATAAACTGGTATCAAATGAGAAATGATTTAAATCAATTTGAGAGCACTTCTAGCAAAAACCAATATAATTGACTAATTGACTATTTAATTATTAAGCAAATGCGTTTGACATAAATTGTATAAATATTTTAACACACAAAACTAATCAGTAATAAGTCATAGGAATACTTATGCTATTAATGAAATGTCGCGAAAAATCATTAGCACTTCATTTGCCCTCAAAATATGCATTGATTTGCTTTGTCTTCGCTTCGTTTAGCACTTGTTTATAATTAAAAACAATTATAATTAATTTATTTGTTTCTAATTTTGATTAAGTCTTTGGTTTTAAATTTATAACATAATTAATACACACATTAATTGCTGCCAAAAGTTATTTTAAAAGTTTATATAAAAGGAGTTTAGGTTAATATCCCGATCAGAAAGCTATATCTCAGTCACACTATTAGTACAAATTGATGATCATATTATCATAGATAAAGTACAAGGAATATATAGCATTATAACAATGAATAATACCTTGGTATTAATTGTGATATTGTGTCTTACATTAAATGCATTGCAAACCAATGGTCAACGAAGGGATCGTAATCTGATTTTACTTAACGGAGCCTTTTTTGGCGGTAAGGACGGGGACTTTCATATGTTGATTAGAAATCAATACGATCGTAAAGGGTATGCCTACTTTTTTGTTGTATTTTCTGTTTAATTATAAATTATAATTAATGTTTTGGTTTATAATATTTTTTCACTTCTTTTCTCGTATCTCAGCGAAGACGTGATTTTGATTGGAAAATGATTTCTCATAGTATTTGTGTCATTACATCGATTTTGTTGTAATATTTTAAAGCCTAATAAGTATTAATCAAATGTTACGTAAAAATAAATAATCAATTATTCAAATACACAATCATTTGATTATAAAATATTTTTTGTGTGCACTATATTTGCTTATTATTATAAGGTTTAGTTTCTAGGCATTAAAAAAATTAATGAACGGTTTTGAAAAACAAATCCTATTAATATTACTATAAAGGGAATTTATATAAAAAATTTTAACTTTTTTATATAGGAATAAAATTTCCCAAAAAGATATTTATTTTAAGTAAAGTTTATTATAGATATTAACTGTACGTATGGTATATACAGGTATTGTATTGCATATACAGTCCGTACAAAGACACTGATTATATTTCCAATACATATATGAGTGCAAAGAT